TTTGTGCTCAACGGAAGAAAGAAACTCATATAGGTTGGGAACAACTTGTGGGTGAGTAAATGATGACAGAATAAAACATTTTAGGGGAACTGTTCCTTTAAGTTGCGGTTACATTTACCGTTGTTTGACCATTTTTTTTTTCCGCAAGATTTGCAGATTTTGCAACGGGCTCAAATTGGTCTTGTGGATTCTCTGTGTTGACCAAAAGAACGCTGATTGGTTTGAAAGTGACTTCTGTGTGAGATGGTCTTCATGCTATTTACAATGGATCTTTTTTTGCCAGTGAAAGTTTGCCAAAATTTTACTGACATTAATGTGACCACACCTTTACTTAGACAAGCCACATCTAGGGATCAGAATATCATATCCAGTATCACAGGCTCCTTTCCAACTAGCAATGTCCAAACCACCTTAGCAATATACTTAAGACATTCAGAACAGCTTAGCAATCTCATAGCAATGCCCTGACAACAAACCACGACACTTTTGCATCATAGGGGTGAGTTTTGCGTGGGAATGTATCTCTCTGTTTACATTATTTACATCTTATTTACTAGTTATACCTTGTTGAACATCTGAGTGGCAAACATCAGTGTAAACATTTGATGTGGGATATTGAGGCTCAGTGCTTGATAAAAGGATTAATTTTTTTTCCCACAGTTCAAAGCAAATATTTGCATACTCATTCAGATTTGTTGTGTATTTGATTGAAATTAGTTTTGAAAAAACACACTCACACAGCTGGGAAGTTGTTTGCTTTTAAGTTTTTTTTTTTTAGATGTTTTTGAATAACACGGTTTCTATGGTGATCACTCCAGCAGATTGAATCCTATTATTCAGACCAGTCCTGGTTGAATTCTTCTTTGTTTGCTTTTAGTCTGACGTTTTTTATACTAGGCTTTTTTGTATGTTTGATCTGTTCAAGTTTTTTTTTTTTAGATGTTTTTGAATCACACTGTTTCTATGGTGATCACTCCAGCAGATTGAATCCTATTGTTCAGAGCAGTCCTGGTTGAATTCTTCTCTATTAAAATCCCTTTAACAACATCAGAATCACATCGAATTAGAACGAACAGACCGAAAAGTGAGCCGTTGAAGAAGGTATTTTGGCCAGATGAATACTTCAGCAATATTTCATAGAATAACTATTAACATTTAAAGCCATGGTTTTGAAACCCTCTACAATGTGGCATCTACAATAACATGCTTTCTGAGAACTGTTTTCTGTGTTAAACGTAATCTGCAAATCTCTACATACAAACAAATATCTTCTCATGCTGAGAAATTAGCATGTATAGCCTATATAGATTTATACAAAAATCTACTCAACAAAATAATATTTTTAAAAGAAAAAAAAAAGCAGCAAACATTCCGTATGATGAATGTATAATACTCACCATTATAATGTACATTCCACAGTCTATCTATCTCTCTTCATAACTGTGACTGAATAGGCATCTCGGAGCTTATGTAAATTACGCCGCACATATGATATGCTTTATGTGGATTATACTCAATTTATTATTTATATGTAAAATGCAGCAGGCTGGAAAATGCCTACTTTGTGGCCTTGTCATACACAAGAATGTTGTTCCAAATGCGCAATCATAATATATATATATATAAAACTATAATTGAAATAAAAATGAATAAAAACTATATATAAACATATAGAAACTATATAAAATATATATTAAAACATAATAAAAATGACAAAAATGTATAAAACTTTCTCATTCACTCAAACTATAAATATATACTGTATATATATATATATATATATATATATATATATATACACACACACACTGATGGACAGAACTGAGATTATTATGGATGTGGTTTTATTTTGGTGTAAACAGTTGTTTTATAAGCATGTGGTTTGAGATTCCATGGCCACATTGAATGGCACAAGATCATCATAATGGCTTGGAATTGTGTTTTTGAAAGTGTTTCAGCACTAAATATATCTTCTTTCAGATGTATAGTGTATTTGCTGTTGTTAGTGCAATGCCTGTTTGTTTGCATTCAGTGGTCATTTTGTGATGTTCAATTCTCTTAATGTACATGAGCAAGCTTTAAATTGTATTCAGAAAGATCATTTACAAATGATTGTTACCTTTTCTGGAATATATTTGTTTTTGAATGAAGAAATAACTTGGAGGTTGGATCTAAAGTTCTCTCATTTTGCTTGAACATTTTTCTACACTGAGGATTTACTCATTTACATTTTTTTTATATATCTTCTTCTATCCTGTAATGTTAATTTCTTGCATTCTGTCTTTGTCTGTGTTGAAATGGAGATCAAATGTGTTCAAATCTAAGATGAGAAAATGAGAATTAAAATATATAGCACACCGAACACCAGAGCTCTCGTTCATTTCTCTCTCTCTCTCTCTAGGTGTTGTTTTTGTTTCATTTGTGTTTTACTGAAGCAGGAGATGTAAAAATCCAAGATGTGAGAGAATGTAAAATGTTTCTCAAGAAGCTGTGCACTATTTCTGTTTATTAGCTCCATTCATCCTTGTACACATCATCTGAATGTAATTGTGTGTGTATTTTAGGTAGGTAACAGATTTCAGACAAGAACCAGATTTTGTGCATGTATTTGTTCAAATAGCTATTTCAGATGGGATTTCATTCTGGAGAATTTTTTTTTGTATGATTATAACAGCTTGCTCATGCTAAAATGAGCATGTAAATGTTTAGTTGCTGAAAAACAGCACAGTTGCTCTTGGACCAAAAATAATGTTTTTCTATGAGTATGTCCTAATTTAGTATCACTGTTTGTGATATTTAGCCATTTCTAATTCTCTCTGTCTTTTTCGGTTTGTTCTATCCATTGTATGAGTGGATTAGACCGAGAGTAGTAGATCTTTCATCATCTGTGCCCCAGCCAACAATTTCACCTGACCCAGCTCTCTGAGTATGTGTGCTTCTGTCTCTGTCTGCTTTTTATTTTTGCTGTCTAAAAACAATCTCAGCATGCTTTAACTAAACCCATCTCTGTACCCGAGATGGATGGACCAATAAGTCTGGATGTGTTTTTTTTTTTTTTGAAAGGAGGTCTAGAGGTTCCGCTAATGTAGAACCCAAGCGGTTTTTTTTTCTTGTCCTTTTTCCTCTTCTCTCTGAAGTGTTCCACCTTTGTTCTTCTAATGCAGGATAAGCTACATCAAAATTAGGTAAAGAAACTGTCATTAGGCAATGGGATAGCTCACAAAAAAAGTTGTTCCAAACCAGTTTACATTTCGTTCTTTTGCATAATACATTTTGAATAATGTGTGTAACCACAGAGTTAATGGTCCCCATTGACTTCCATAGTAATTATTCTTCCATTCTATGGAAGTCAGTGGAGCCTATCAACTGTTTGGTTACCCATATTCTTCAAAGTATCTTTTTATGTTGAACAGAAGAAGGACAGGGTGAGTAAATGATGGAATTTTCATTTTTGGTCAAACTATCCCTTTAACGTATTTAGAGATCAGTTAAAATGCCTTTTCCTTATCTGAAAATTCAGATAAGAAAGCAAAGTAAGGCATGTTCATGCAGTTGAGTATCATCCTAATATGTTAGCGGAGAAACTCCAACTCTGTTTGCTACTTTGAGGTTTACCCTTACGAAAAAGAAGTTTATTCAAGTGTGCTATTAGTATACTTCGTTTAAACTAAAAAATTGGAAAGTATACATTTAGTCTACTTTTTATGTACTTCTCAGAAATGGGCTTTATATACTTCTCAGAAATATACTTAAAATGACATTTAAGTATACTTGACTTATAGCCTACTTAGAAAAATTCTAAATATATTTGAGCTATACTTGTGTTCCTAGAATCCGTGTTTTCATTGTTATACTGTAACAATGTACAGTTGTAATGTGCTACTACAAGTATTTAATTAGAAAACTATCAGTATTCATATAAGTTCACTTTTAGTATAGTCGCAGTACAAGCTAAAAATATTGTTGTAAACTAGCTGTGTACTTAAAGTTTACTACTGTTACACTTAAAGTATACTTAAAAGTATACTTTTATATAATAGAAAGTGGGCCAATTTAGTCCCAAGGAGTATTGAAATAGTACACTTACAAGTTTACTACTAGTACACTGATATTTGTATACTTACTACATAAAGTATACTTAAAATATACTTGAACTTTACTTAAGAATACTTAATAAAATAAACTTGAAGTATACTACTTTTTGGTAAGGGTATACAGCTTTAAAAGTGCCAACAAAGTATTTGAAGGTGCAGAAAAAAGCACCAAAAACTCACAAACAACAGACAAACCAACATACCCTGTGGAGAAGTGAATGGTGCTTGGGAAAGATGTGTAGGAGGTCTTTTAACCTCTAGTCTCTATTATGAAATACTGTTATCTGTGTTGGCGGTGTGGGCGCTGATGGCAGCCCGCTCAATAACATCTGCACGTGGACCAAAAAAAATCAAAAATATAAAATCAAAGCCATTTTAAACAATCACGATCAGAACTTTGGTTGAATTAATTTTGTTCTAGATCACATTAAATATGCAATAAGCTTTTTAGATGCTTTGTCCCAGGATGAGACACACACTCGCACACTGAGGTGGGTGGCCCACATTGCCTAGTAGTTTCCTTAATCTCCAAAATGTCATAATTCCCACTGGGATTACCTTTCTGCCCTCTTTCTCCGACCATTCAGGAGTGAAACGAAAGGCTTTAATGCCATTATAATCTAAAAACAAAGGTTTACTTGCAGATTTGTGTGGTGCACCAACTGACCTTATTTTAACACAAAAACACGCTTTCAGGCTTTTTTTCATACTGTTACTGATATACATGCACCATCATTTACAAAAAAGTAAAGTAGGCTATTTTTGGAAATGCCCAGAAGTATCATGAAACCCCCCCCCCCATCATTTGTATCATGATGTCATTGTATCAAAGGAGAAAGAAAGAAAGAAAGAAAGAAAGAAAGATGTGGACGGAGGCGGAAATAAACAGGTCACGTGGGCCGGAGGTTGCCAAGGCCGGTGTGTCTCCATGACAACACTAGTAGAGGAACGTGTCTGTGCATAGCGCTACAGAGTGGTATGTAATTGAGCTGTGCTGTTAAAAATGCAATATTACCGAGCTTTAAATGATTTACATGTTTACATTTCTCCATTTCTTTCAGCTGTTTATCAGTCGTAGCGTTTTAAGTCGAAGGGTGATGGAGTCGAGCTAGCAAGCTAACATTAGCCCAGAGATGCTAAAAACAAACGCGTACTCGATACATTTGTTTATCTTCATACTAATTTATCAGTTTATCAACTTATTTTATATAAGGACGCGCTAAAGACAGAAAACATATGTATTTTTCCACAATTTTTATTTGTTTTGGTAGGGAGTCTTTTAAGTGTGTAGAATTCTGGTTCGGTTCTGGTTCTGTTGCCCTTTGCACAATTAATTTTTAACAACAGATTGTTTATTTTGTATAAATCTGAATGCTTTTAATTGAATATTAGTTGAATGTTGTGAAATGCTTTTACAGTAATTGACAATGTACACGACATGGGCTCTAACATTAAGACTTACACATTTTACACAAATATACATCTTATACAAATATTGTAAATGCAATGCTAAGATGCTTACAGTTAGAAATGAGAAAAATTGTCTTTTCGTTCTGATTAAGTGAAATAAAAGTTTAATAAAATGTTTTTGGAAAGAAGTCTCTTATGCTCCCCGAGTCTGCATTTATTTAATCAAAAATACGGTGATATTGTTAAATATTATTACAATTTAAGATAACTCTTTTGTGTTTCAGTATATTTAAAAACATCATTTATTCCTGTGATGGCAAAGATGAAATTTTAGCAGTCATTACTCTAGGCTTCAGTGTCACGTGATCCTTCAGAAATCATTTTATATAGTTATTAAACTCTTCCCCTTTCCACTACGGCTTTAAAGCGTAAACATTTATTATTTACTCCTTATTGGGGTCCCGGTTTTCAAGAATCACCCAGATGTATTATCTGTAAATTTATGACAAGTCTAGTCATTTCCCGTATGTTCATTTTGAGACATTTACATATTTGATGAGGACAGTAACCCACATTTAATTTTGTTCATGGACAAACAAATGTGTTTTTCATTCTCCTTGCCAATGCTAAAAATGGGTCAGAATTTTGACCTAATGTTCTGATTTTCCTTTTCATCAGACAGGACTAATCCTTCTGTCTCTCTTTAGTAAAGAAAAGGATGGCAGAAACCGGTGATGGTAAAAAAGAGGATGCCGATTACAAAAGACTGCAAAGCTTTCCGCTCATCAGGGTGGGTGCAGCTCGACTGCTGCTGTGACCTAGATAGAAATAACCAGTTATGGATGTGTCTGTGTTTGTTTGTATTAGATCACTCCAACTGCTCCCTTTTCCATCCTTTTCAAAACATGAGATTTTAAACATCTATTTACCCCCCTTTTTTTTCTCAAGCATACTATTTGCACTGCTTCTTTATTTGGCATGGATGGTCTTAATATTTTGCACTGCCTTGGTCAACGCAACATAGTTTGTGTATTTATTTTAAAGTGTTTAATATATCTTTCTTTACATTATTGTAATTATTAATAATTTATAGTAACTTTTCTATAGGCTACATAACTGTTCAAAAGTTCAGGTCTCTTATGCTAACCAAGGCTGCATTTGTTTGATCAAAAATATTTTCACAGTTTAAAATAATTGTTTTCTATTTGAATGTTTTTAAAAATGTAATTTATTCCTGTGAATTTTCAGCATCATTACTCCAGTCTTCAGTGTCACATAATCCTTCAGAAATCATTCTGATATGCTGATTTGCTGCTCAAGAAACATTTCTTATTATTATCTTTGTTAAAAAATATATATATATATATTTGTGGAATCTGTGATCTTTTTTATTTAAGATTCATAATCTTAAAAGTTTAAAAAGCAGTCCGAAGCTTGCACATAAATTGCGGACAAAAATATATATTCATCCAACATTTGTTTAATTTGTTCAGTTGTTTTATTAATTCATTCCCTAATTTTAGTTAAATTGTGGCCACGCATTAAGAATTAGTTCCCACAACCTATTTAGTTCCCTCATTTTAGTAAATCAGTATTGATTTAAGTCAAATTCTTTGTGTGTGTAAACATACTTGGTAATAAAGCTCTTCTGATTCTGATTCTGATATTTTTATTTGATAATAGATTTTTTTGTAACCACGTAGAAGTCTTTTTTACTGTTGTTCAAATGATCGCATCTATGATGAATAAAAAAGTAGAAGTCTTACTGACTCCAGATATTTCAGTGGCAGTTTTTCTTTATAATTTCTTTCTTTATAAAAATAATCCCGTTACACCTGTAAGAGCGTGACTAGAATATGTGGTGTTGGTTTCATCTGCAGCACACAGATATGCCAGAGGAGATGCGTGTGGAGACTATGGAGCTGTGCGTCACAGCCTGTGAGAAATTTGCCTCCAACAATGAGGTCAGTCAGGTTTGAGTGTGTGTGTGTGAGTGTGTGCTTTTGTTGTGAAGTGCAGGCTTTCAGATAAATGTGGACACACAGGTGGGGTTGGGCTCTGTGTTTCCGTCTAGTACTGAGTCAGGACGCTTCACACGCTCACAGTCTGGCCATCTGGACTGCTCCAGTAGCCTACATGCTTTCATCTCGCTCTCTTTCTCGCTGGTTCACTCTATTTTCAGAGTGCTGCCAAGATGATCAAGGAGTCCATGGATAAGAAGTTTGGCAGTTCGTGGCATGTGGTGATCGGTGAGGGGTTTGGGTTCGAGGTGAGCCATGAAGTCAGGAACCTGCTGTACATGTTCTTTGGGGGAAGTCTGGCCGTGTGCGTTTGGAAATGCTCCTGATGCCGCTTCCTGCCCACACAATAGCCACTGTGAGACATTTATACTCACAGATCTGTCCTAACTATGCAGCCCTATTTGACTTGAGACGTGTGTTTGTGTGTGAAATTGGAGGGGGAAAAAGGAGACAGATTCTTGTGCGCTTCTCCAGATCACTCTTTTCCTGTCTTATTTTTTAAAGGCTTCAATTTTAAGCCATAAACACAGAATTTAAAGAGTTTGATTAACACTTTAAAACATTTTTATGGAACCTATGGAGTTTATTGCAACTGACTGTAGGATCTAATTAAGAAAATGTTTTATTTTTTTCCTCTTCCTGTGCTATTTACTTTCTTTTAACATGATGGTCTTATTGTGTGCAATCCAGCACGTTATTCCAAAGAAAACTTTTGCCTTTGTAATCTTTCATCAAAATGTATTAACTTGTCCCTATCTACTAACTTATTTAATTTTGAATCCATCTTATTTTCAAATTCCTCCCTATTAATCATCCATCGTCATCCTTTAAAAATATACAATGGATGAATGAATTCTGGTATGCTACACCCACTTTGATGGCCAATCAGTTCCAAGTGGATATAAGTGCAGTCCTACCCCCTTTTTTTTAACTAAATGTTATTTTTCATTCAAAAATTAATCGTATTTTTGTTTCACAGTAAAGTTTACATGGTGTATATTATTCCAAAAAAAAAACTTTTTAATCCATGAACTTGCTCTTCATTGGAGACAGCTTTCCTTTTCTATTGACATCACATGTGTGCTGTTGAATAACGTTTGCTAATAGCCAAATAGCTATTCATTTATTTATTTATTTATTCATTCATTCAAGTATGTATTGCTCACTTTACAGTCCTGCTCTTGATGATGAATATCCTGTTTCATTTGGAAATACACTACTGTTAAAAAGTTTGAGGGTGGTAAGATTTCATAAGTTCACTAAAGTTGCATTCATTTGATTAAAGATATTGTGCAAAATATTAAACGCTAATATTGTGAAATATTACAATTTTACAATAACTGTTTCCTAATTTAATATAATTTATTCATGATCCTTCAGTAACAAATCATTCTAAAAACAAATTTTTAAATTTTTTTATCAATGTTGAAAACATTTGTTCTGCTAAATATTTTTGAGGAAACTGCAATATGTATTGTTCAGGATTATGATGAATAGAAAGTTTAAAAGAAGTTATTATTTTACATATTAAATCTTGTGTAACATAATAAATGTCTTAAATGTGTCCTTGAAGAATGAAAATCTAAATTTCTTAAAAAAAAAATGAAACCTCAAACCTTTGAACAGTAGTGTGTGTTGCACATTACAGAGGTAAAATGGCTTGTAAGCAGCAATTTACAGTTATGTGTAGTATTGAAAGACATCCATTTCAATGCATTTGTGAGTGAACATACAGTTATGTGTTCTGTAACAACTGAAGTGTCAGTCTGCGTTTCGGTCTCTTTGAGGCTCTGAATATTCGGTTGTATTTGTCTGGCAGGTTGTCGTAGGACTGTGTTTGCTGTGTGAGGCTGTTCAGCACAGAATGTGTGTCGTTGCACTCCATTTCATGTGTCATTTTAAAAATGCATCCTCTCTCTCTCTCTCGGTCTCTTTCATTCTGTTTCCTGTCCAGCAGTGTCTCAGTGGGCTGCTCTGCCACCTGTTTCAGATTCCTCTTTCTCTTTCATTGTTCCTCTTTTTTTTTTTTTTCCTTATCCTTTCATTGTCACGCCAGGAATCTTGTGCCCTGTCCTTTTCCCCTTTTTACGTAACCAGCATGTGTAGAGTGTGAATACTTGAATGTTATGTACATTTTCAGAACTTCATTTCTGAAGGTTTTTGTAGTCATGCAATAATACAGTTAGTACTCTTTTTTTTTTTTTTTTGGGGGTACCACTTCACAGCCCTATTTCATAAATGCTTAAACCTGTCATTCACTGTCATAATTTGCAACTCTTTACAACCTTAAACCTGTTCTAATAGTCTTTAGCCCTATTTGGATGGTACAGTTTACATGCTTGTGTAACAGAAATTACAGCTGCTTGTTTGTAATTTAATTATGGGAGCAATTTCTGTGCCATGAGTGTTATTGAATGAAATCCCATAAATAGTGGATGAAAACTTAATTTCATCTATTGTTTGGCCAACTTGGTAGTTTCGCCTCCAAACCTGAGCCATTGTTTGAGTCAGTGTCATTCTGTCCAGCCCAGTCAGGCCACTGATTGCAATGCTCCCATAATTAATCCAGCTATGGTGCAAGTGCTGTAGTGAACACTTTGAAACAGATGCAGATGCAAATGTCATTTAAAAACAATTTTTGAATCTTTTTTTGGCCACAGCTAATTTAAAAGGTTGCTGTTTTGACACTTTTGATACATAAAACTAACCTGCTGCCAAATTCAAAGTTCGATCTCAAAGGAGGTATGCAAATATGTTACAGTCATCATCCTGAGAAACAATTGCCTGTGCAAACAGTGCTTTTGATTTCAGCTGAGATTAAATGCTGCAAGATTTTATCAGAATGTTCCATCCTTGTTCCTGCAATGTTTAAATGCAGTAAAAACCTTTAATGACTTTATTATGATATTTTATTCAATTTTTAATTATTTTTGTCAACTCTGTGCAATAATTGCTCTGTTTAGATAAATAAAATTTAAAAAAACACATGAGTCTACTGTGCTATCAGCAAATCCAAAATTTGCGTTTGAATATCCATTAACCGACTCTTGAGTACTGAGACAAAATTGAAAACTGAAGAATTTCTAGTTGGTTATACAAAGGAATTATTTTCAATTACTAAGAGGTTCAGAGTTATTCATGTGTTTGGGGGCATCTGCTGCTCCAATGTCCCACAAAATGTGTTTTCCCTGGCTAATTATGGCAGTAATGTTTGTTACTCTCAACTCTCATTCTGATGGCACCCATTCACTGCAGTGAGCAAGTGATATAATTTCTCCAAATCTGTTCCGATAAAGAAACAAACTCATCTACATCTTGGATGACCTGAGGGTGAGTACATTTTCAGCAAATTTTCATTTGAGTGAACTCTTTTTAAGGAAAAAAATATAAATATTGAATCTAAATTTGAATCACTATGAAGAACTATGTTGTTTTGTCACACATTTTGCTGTATGTGTAAAGAATTCTTTCAGTCCACCACTGTGCATTAGTACTGATTTGTGAGTCAGACGGTTTCAGTTTAATGAGATTTCCAATGTGTTTTATTCCAGTTAGCCAGTTAGTTTTCCATTTATATTGGCTTTATCTACAAGCTCCTCCTAATGTCCATGTTCTTTTCTGTGTTCCTTGTTTCTCGATCATTTCTTGTCCAGACATGCTGTTTCCTCTCTTACTACAGTATCTCCCAGTCTCTTCTCTTCTCTTCTCTTTCTGTTCTTCTCTCCTCTTTGTATTTCAGATGAACTGAACCCAGATCAGATGGTGGACTGGTGCTGTGTGTCTCTGGCTCACACTCCTCATTAACAGCTTGGCTCTCTCTGAGGGACTGCAGGATCTGCCTGACATTTTGCTGACCAGGAACATACCGCAGAGAGACACGGTGGGAAGAGGAATGCGAGGCAAAGATCAGATTCCAAACGAGATCATTAGATAGAAGGAATGCATCACGACTGAGATTTTATGCTACGGTAAAATGTGCACTAAAACACGGGGGTAAAGATGGAAAAGAAAAGAGTTGAAATGAATTTGTCATTCGCAGTAGAATCTTCCTGGACAAGAAAAGAGAGAGTGTAGATTGAACGGTAGAGATGTAGAGTGATTGATGAAAGAGAGACAGCAGTTGAGGAAGATCATCACAATGATTTGTAGATCATGAATGTTCAGATGAAGCAAAAGAGGGATTACAATGCTTACATAACTGTGTGTGTTGAAAGAGGAAAGAGCATTGATGGCAGCGAAGAAGTGAACTGGATGTGAGGAGTTGTGAGGGGATGAGAGTGGGTTTGAGGGATGAATACAGATCAGTTTTCCTTTTTTCTTTGGTTTCTCTCCTCACTTGTTTTTTTTCCTTCTACTACGTTTTGTAATACACATAGTTACAGTCCTGGGTGCTGATTGTTCAATACAATGTACGTTTACATGCACAGGTTTTTGTTTTTAGACAAGTTTTAGTCGGTAGTAATGACTGAACTGTAAGGCTTCTAACGGGCCTTTAGCTGTGATTTTATTCACAATATAGCCGAACTTAGACATTATAGGATAAAATGGGAACTGCCCACCTTTTTATTCCCATTTCTTTTCTTCATAGGAATTTACAACCATTTTTTAATAAAGTACTTTAAAATCAGTGCAAAAGGCAAATAAACTTCATGTTATTTATGAGGGAGTGAACTATAATAACACTGTAATGATTCAATTGAAATGAAAAATTACAGTACAATATAAAATTATTATAGTCATAGTTTCAGAAGTACACTCACCAAGGCCGTATTTATTGGATCAAAAATACAGTAACAACTGTAACTGTATTCTGAAATAATATAATTCAAAATAATGGTTTACGACTTTAATAATAAGATTTTAAACATGTATTGCTGTCATGACATATCAGCATTTTCAGAATCCATTATTCGAGTATCTCGTGATCCTTTAGAAATAATTCTTATATGCTTATTTGCAGCTCCAGAAATATTTCTTATCAATGTTGAAAACAGTTGTGCTGCTTCTATTTTCTTTTTTTAGTCTTTGATTAATAAAAAGTTCAATAAAAACAGCTTTTATCTAAAATAAAATCTTTTGTGACTATAATAATCATCACGGTCAATTCAACTCGATTCAAATCAACTCTCAGGACTTCTTCATCTGGCATTTGGCTACTAAATGTGATTTTGTTTCTTTTTAATGAAGTTGAGATTACGCTGTCTTGTGGTTTCAAATAAAGCATATGTTGATTAATAATCTCCGAAGTCTGTTTTGAAAGGATTATACAGAATCATTAAAAATCTATTTCTTCATGGAGAAAATGACAACTTCTCTGGCTTAAGTGGGTAATTTCTGCTCCATTAGTGGCACCAAATTGAATTGCAAAAATGACTGTATTTTAACAGGTTTCCCATCTGCCATTGGTCTTATTGCCTAATTATGTAACTGTTTACAATACTTGTGACTCCTCTCATAACTTCTCATCTCTCTCAATCTCTTTCTTTCTCACTCGGGGTTAAATGAAATATTCATAGCTTGGCAGTGAGTAAGCGAATGCACCAGCAGAGTGTCTCAAACATGTTCCCTCCTTCACATGTGGAGATATGTCACTCACACAGTGTTTTTATTTGTGTGCGTTGGTTTCATCCGTAAATTTCCTATTCAGGCAGGAATTAGAAGACGCTCTCGGTTACTCACGTAATCTCGGTTCCCTGAGATGAGGGAACGAGGCATTGCTATGGGAATTACCCTTTCCTCCAAATACTACTGAAGCCTTATTGAATCACGCCAGTGAAACTGGCCAATGGCGTTCAAATGCGCGAAATATGAGGGGCTCCCATTCTATATAAAGCAGCGCTTGTACGTCATCCATTCAGAATCTTGACTAAAGCAACTTGGCATTCTAAGATCCTCAGCTAGGTGACACGGCAATAAGAGCAATGTCTCGTTCCCTCATCTCAGGGAACCGAGGTTACGTGAGTAACCGAGAGCGTTCCCTTTCGATTCGGTCACTCTACATTGCTATGGGAACATATAAAATCCCGCCGTGTCACAGCTATGGAGCCTGGCTCGACTATGTATGTCAAGTTTCACATACGGAACCGTAATGAGAGCGCCAATGATATTGGCACTCTTGTTAAACACAGCTCAGGTCTACAGGACCTAGTCGAAACCATGTAAAAGTCAAGGGGGGGCGCGGCAACTAGACCATGCCGCGTCACACCAGGGGCAGAGTTAACGCTGGTAAAACAGAGAATATGAAATGGCGCCGGCACCATCACATCCACACCTTTAGAGCTATAAGTCAA